AGCTTCGTTCTGCTGCGCAGCAGAATCCATTTCTGCATGCTCTGCAGCAGCGCGCGCCGAGGCCAAGGCCGCGTGTCCTGCAGCAACGTGGTATGTATCTCCGTGCTGTTGCACAGCAGAATCCATTTTTGCATGCTCCGTCGTAATGGGCGCGAAACGTGCGCGGGGGCGGTTCCGATACATCAACTGCGTGGAATATCTAGCTGTTGAGCGCGCCCCGAGCCAGCGCGACCACGGAAAATGATTCGCGCGCGGCGCGAATAAACGTGCGTCCGCACAAACAAGAAGCAAATCAGCCATCGCATTCGTCGATGTGACGCGAGCTATGTGGCGCGAGCTATTTGGTGGAGGATGAGGAAGTGCAGGAAGAGAAGGCGGAGGAGGAGAAAGAGGACGAGGAGGCATAGGGGGGAGAGGCGGATACTGAGAACGATACTGAGCGATCGTACTCATCTATGTGGTCTTAGCTCTGTGGTGTCGATTGTGTGGTGTGCCTGTAAATGTGCATGCATGCATGTATGTATGTATGTATGCATCTACATCGAAATATGTGTGCACGTGCATGTATGACTGTATGTATGTGCATGTGTATGCGCATATATGTATAACTGTATTTATGTAGGTCCATGCATCTCGGCATGCATACGCGTGTGTGCTATATGTACGTATGTACGCACATGTGTGTATGCATGTGTGTACTTACGTATGCAAGTATGCATGCGTGTATGTGTGTATGTATGTATGCATGTGTGCGTGTCTTCATGTAGCCTCGGTCGTATGTATGCACAGTGTGTATGCAGGTGCTCGGGTATGCATGTACGCATGCATCTAATGTGCACATGCTAGGCCGAATATGACATTAGCTCACAGCCTTAAGGACAGTATTCAGGATAATGCAGGAGCGTAACGTCAAGCCACATATAATTATGTGAAGTACACCTAGCGTAACGCAATGTAACGTAACGTATAGTAGAGTGATGTGAAGTCAAGGAACGTCAGGTACATTCAAGTGTAGCCCAGCAAGGTCAACTACAGCAGCGGACAGTAGAGAGAAGGGAAGGAAAGCACCTGCAATGACATGAAGGGAGCGGAGAGTAGAGTCACGTAGAGCAAATCAAAGCACACCGAAGCAACTCAAAGCAAATCCATGTAAAGAAAAGCAGAGTAAAGCAGAGCAAAGCAGAGCACATGGCGGCGATGGGCAACGACGGGCGGCACGGGCGGCGACGGGCGGGATTCGCGACGGCGGGCGACGACGGAGACGGGCGGCACAGGAGGCGACTGGCGGGATTCGTGGCAACGGGCGGCGACGACGACGTGTGGCGACGGGCGGCGACGGGCGGCACGCGTGGCGACGGGCGGCAAAAAAACCCGACGAGCGGCGACGGCGACGGGCGGCAACGGGCGGCACGCGAGGCGGCAGGCGGCAATCACCCTGAGATGGTGAACGCAAGTAAGAAGCCATGAGTGCAAGCACGTGTTTGCAAAACAAACAAGGATTGCAACAAAAAAAGGATTGCAAAAAAACCCTTTTACGAAGGGTTTGTTTGCAGTCCTTTTTGCAATCCTTCGTGGAAGCAGCCTTCCTGAAGTTGGCGCGGCCCCTTGCTTTTCAGAGCAGAGTGCTCAAACAGCCCGGGCCTGCAGCCGCCCTGGCGCGGTCGGAGGAGGGGGGCGAGGCGGATGAAGCGCAACGCTGGCGACGACGGCTGTGGCGACGAAGACGGCGGCGGCAGCTGCCGCAGCGACGGCGACGGCGGCGGCCGCGGCGGCGGCGACGGCAAAGGCGGCGACCACCACCAGCGGTGGCCAGGCACTGCCGCCTGGCCGGGGCAGCGTCGGATCCCAGGGCTCCTCGGCGCAGGCGGGAAGGGCCGCGCCGAGCGCTTGAGCGGGTCCGCAGAGGCAGCCGCACACCACCCTCATGCCTACGCAGGGCAACCTTGGGCCTCCGCATGGCCAAGAGGTTGTCAACACACCGGCTCTGGCCAGGCATAGTGGCGGTGTGCAGGTGTCTGCCGCGGATGCGCACGTATTGCGGCGGGGGGGCGCGCCGTGCTCTGGGGTCGGCCGACTGACAGCTGCTCGTTGTCGTCGCCGCCGCCGCCTGGGCTGTGGGCGGCCGCGCGGCCGGCTGCCCGTTGCTCGGTCGACGCCGCCGCCGCAGAAGGCTGTTAGTCGTCGGTCGCCGCCGCTGTCGCCGTCGTCTGGGCGGCTGGTTGCCGGTAGCCCGGTAGATTGGTCGTCGCAGCCGTCGGGCGTTGCTTGTCGTCGCCCGTCGCCCCCGCCGTTTCTTGGGGCCATCTTGGAGAGAAAGGCGCGACATATCACTTCGTATTCCGCCTCTTGGGCTCTCCTGGGGCCCTTTTGGGGCTCTCTTTGGCCGTCTTGGCGGTCCCTGGGGCCCTCGCGGGGCCCCGCTGGGCCGTCTTGGGGCCCTCTTGGGGTCTCATCGGCCGTCTTGTGACGATCTCGGGGGTCCCTTGGGCAGTTTTAGAAGCTGCCACGACGAAGAAAGCAAGTGTGCTAAAAATGCACTTCTTCCTCAAGGACAGGGACGAGTGTTGCCTATTGGGGCCTTCTCGGCGGTCATCTTAGAACACTTTCGGGCCGTCTTGGGGGCCTTGTGGGCCGTATCGAAGTCAGCTTGGGTCGTTGTGGGGCTAATTACTCTGGACTGTCTCGACGCTCTCTTCAACTGTCTTGGCGTTCTGCCTGGGCCCTCCTGGGTTTTTTGGAGGCTCTGGAAGCCGCGGGGATGTGTTGGCGAGCTCGTGCCCCCCCTAAACGGCATTTTAGACCCCATGGGAGGGAGAAAGGGGGAGGGGGACAGCCAAATGTCTCAAACGCCTGTTCTCCTCCGGCAAGCGGGGGGGGGGCTCGGCGGAGTACAATATTCAAGAGAGGGCAGTTGAATATGTTTCAGCTTGTCTTTCGTTATCTTTCCGTATGCCGTCTTCCGACTTGCTTGCTAATTTTTCTCAGCCGTTGCCATTTTGGTTACAGGTGGCCTCTTGGCCCCTCACCCCTCATTCAACGTTGGCGCCCAACACCTACTGTGGACGAGCCACTCCGAGCGAACTTCGACGACATGGGGTGCGTGGATTCCAAGGCATCCCAGTGTGTCGAGTCTTACGGCATCGAGAAGTCTGCCACTGTCGTGTCAAAAGGCAATCCGTTTGCTCCGGCAAATTCTGGGTCGTCGACGCAGAGTACTCGAGCAAGCTCGAAGCAGTCTGACTCCACGATCTCGGTCTCCTCGTTGGCTTCCCCGCGGTCCAGGGACCGTGTATTGGGCAAGTTTGCTTTTGCGGATGGGGACAAAGTTCTGCTGGGCGAGGGCACGTCAAGCGTGTGCTACCTGGGCAGCAACATCGAGACCGGTGATGCCGTGGCGATCAAGGCGTCGGGGGGGGGGGCCAAACCTGTTCATGGCTAGCGGTGCCAAACCAGTTCGTGCCGCTTTTCGGGGGAAAACAAACCTAACTCGCTCTTGACCACCCTCGCTTCCAAGAGATACCAAACGATGCCAAATTGCGGCCTGTACTGGTCAGGCCGCTTGACGAGGAGGCGCGTGGTATGGCTTGGCTTTGCCTGGAAGCGAAAGCGGGGGAGGTAATTCACGCTCTGAGCTTTGCCTCCCGGTGCCCACCGGGCCTCGTGAGCTGTGCACGGGCGGCCGTGGGGGCCTCCCTGGAAGTGGTCCGGGGCCACCTCTGTTTCCGAGGCGCCCAGGTGTCGCCGGAGCAGGTGGGGTCGGCGGATCGCCCCGCTTTCCCCCCGTCCCCCCACCTCCTCCTCCTCCTCCTCCTCCACCCCTCCTCCTCCTCCTTCTCCTCCTCCTCCTCCTCCTCCTCCTCCTCCTCCTCCTCCTCCTCCTCCTCCTCCTCCTCCCTCCTCCCTTGGCAACAAAACCGGAGGTGTACAAGCCTTCCAGGAGGGGGTCCACCATGCTCGCCAAGTTCAAGCGTCAGGTCAGCGTGCTGCAGGAGTTGCAGCGGCCCCTCGAGAAGCCTGCGGAGGAGGCGCTCTGGTGCGAGGAGCTGGCCAGCACCAACCCTGCCGACCTCTTCCTGAAACTCCTGGATTTCTCCAAGGACTCGAAGACCAAGCACGGCATACTTAACCATTGGCGTTATACCTCTTGGCTGCCTCGTACTGGGTGCTGCCAGCTGCGAGACTGTCGCCACTTTCACGAGTTCGTGGGAGGTCCAGCAGCGCGACGCCTTACAACCGTCCGAACTGGACCTCGCCGCCTGAGGGTCTGCCAATTACGCGACCATCGAAACATTCGTGAGCTCCCAGGAGGTCCAGCAAAGTGCGGGCCTGCGGGCATCAAGATTGGACCTCGCCCTCCCCCGGGGGTTGCTGACTGCGCAGCCGTCGCCCACTCCGTGCTCCTGTGAGGTCCAGCGAGATGCGGGCACAGACGCTGGCCCACCCGGTAGTGCGTGGCAGCTCCCAGACACCCCCGGAAAACCCACCCTAACACCCTCTGAAGAGGGGGGGGGCGGGTTCTTTTCTGTTGGCATCCCCGCTGGACCTCCCCCCCTGAGCATCCGGCGGGTGTTCCACCAGACCCCCCTGACCCCCCCTCAGCTTTGTCGCGGGTGGCGAAGGGTGTTCCCTCAGAGCCCCCGTGAACCCCCTCATGGAGGGGATTGAGAGGGTTACGTTGAGTTTCCTCTCGAAGTGGGAGTGGGGAACTTGTGATTTTGGGAGTTCGGCCTCAGCCCCCGTTTCTCTCCCTCCCCCCCCTCCCCCAAAAAAGAACCCCCCCCCCACCCTGACGGGAGTTTCTGGGGACCCCCCGTACGTATCCTCATTCTCCCCCTGAGGGGGAGATTCGGCGGGCTCTGCCCCCTGAGGGGTGGGGGGTAGGGTGGTTGTATAGGGGGCTCGTCTATCATAACGCTGGTGTCGCTTGTACCTGCCCGGACGCCCGTTGCAGAAGAACTAGCCCCCCCCCTCCCCCCTTCCCTCCGAATCGCCTTCAGGGGGGGCAGGAGGGCACTCCAGGAAGGGGGCGAGAAATCCCGCACCTGTCTCGGCCCACCCCGTGCTCTTGCCATGCGTCTTGAGTGTTTTGTGGGTGCGCCCCTGGGCAATGTTGCGTTGCCCCGCAGGATGCCGACGGGGAGCCGGCCCCGGACCACGTGGACGGCCGCATGTACATCGTGACCGAGTTGGCCCAGTGCACCCTGAAGGACTGGCTGAAGCTGAGGAACCAGAGGTCGGAGGGAGGCCAACGACACACCGCCACCAGGCAGGTCCAGCCTGGGCCCTGGACTGGTTTATGGACCTCCAGGCTTATAGGGGGCCACTTGCGAACCCTACCCCTACCCCCCACGATTTTTGAGGGGGAGGGTGGGATTCACTTCGCTCGGGAGCTCCCGAGCGAAGTGAACCCCACCCTCCCCCTCAGAAATCGTGGGGGGTAGGGGTAGGGTTCGCAAGTGGCCCCCTAGCCTAGGCAAGGAGGGCCTGTGCACCAGTCCAGGGCCCAGGACGGGCTTGGCCAGAGCTGGCGGTGGTGTCTTGTTCTGAGCTCTCCTGCAAGGAACTCCCCGCTGCCCGCCGAGAGCGTTCGCAAGATCGCCAGGGAGGTCGTGCTCTCCGTGGCCTGGCTGCACGCCAAAGGCTTCGTCCATCTCGACATTAAGCCAGAGAACATAATGATGTGTGGCGGCCGGTGGAAGCTCATCGACATGGACGGCTGCGTGCGCGCTGGCTCGATCATAAAAATGGCCGACAACTCGGTCTCGTTCTCGCCGTGCTATTGCGCCCCAGAGTTTGCCCGCCTGGTCCTGAAGGGCGGCAGCATGAGGGTGAAGCCGAGCATGGACGCGTGGAGCGTGGGCATGACGATTGCTGAGCTGGTCAACCTGTGCCCTCTGCTGCGCTTGCAGTACCAGCAGATCAGCGAGGGCCAGTCGCCCCATGCAGGAAGCGTGTCCTTCCTGAAGTGGCTCGGAGGCGTGCAGCGCGCGCCGCTGCCGAAGCGTGCCGCGTGGTCCGAGGAGAGCCGCTTCAAGTCCCTGCTGTGCACCTGGATGCTCGTGCCAACCCCAGAGCGCCGGAAGACGCTGGCGCAGAGCCTGGATGCCCCGTACTTTCAGACGGACTGACCGTCCCGCCCGCGTCGTTCCAGGCTGCCGCCGCCCTTGGGAGCCGCGCCAGCGCGTCCACGTGCGCCCCTGGGACATCTTGGCCACCATGGCCAGCCGATTCAGCTTCGCGCGAATGACGGCCTCTCTGGATGAGCAGCTGTTTGCACGAGAAATTTATTGGCAGCTGCGCTCAAGCCATACACATTGTAGCTGCGACCGCGTAGATTAATACTCGGCATCGCAGTGCATTGAAACGTGGCAGTGCCGTTGCTGCTGAGAGCGATTCGTGCAATACTGCTTGTTCCAGCCACCCATACGATAAGCAGGACCGGGTAGGTGTTGGCACACTCACAGCGCTGCACCGCCCACCATGGAGCTTTTCTATTTTTCGATTCCGAAGGAACTTGCCAAAAGTCAGTTCGGGGTTGAGCGAACGAGTGCTCGCCGCGGAGTTGTCTGTTGGCGTATGTTCCTCAATATGTTGATGTGCGCAGGCACCAGAAGCAGCGCGACGCGGTTTTTGCGTTTGAGAGTAGCTTCGTGTTCATGGGTTTCAGCACGAGCCTGGGACACCAGCACCGGTGTTGCATAAGCCACGAGAGGGTGATGATATTTTGATGCCTGTCAATCGGAATCGGCAGAGCCCGAGCCGGTTTTACATGGGCACCACGTTATTTCTGTTCAGTCAGGGCGTCATCATTCTGGCATGAGGTTTGAAGACGTTCATTTTTGGAGGTTTTTGTCAATTTGTTCCGTCAGGGCGTCAACGTTCTGGCACGAGTCCGGAAGACGTTCATATGTGGAGTTGTTTGACATGTGCTTGTTAGCAATCCAGCATGAGTTTGAAAGACATTCATTTGTGGAGGTTCTGAATCAATTGTTCCGTCGCGGCGTCAACGATCTGGCATGAGTCTGGATGATGTTCGCGTACTGGTGCGAGTACAGATGGATCTCTGCTACACTTTCGAATTTGAGGGTCAAGTTCGATTCCAGAGGCTCACGTCATTCCGCCGATGTCCAGGGTAAAGACCGATGGGGTTTGGTGAGGATGAGGAGGAGCAGGAGCAGGATACCACTCAGGATATGCGGACCTATATTGGCTAACCGCCTTACTGGAGGGGTTTCGTGTTGGGAGGTGCTCGGATCTAGGTTGGATTTGCATCGGGGTCCTCTCGGGGCCCTTCGGAGCATTGTGGGTGCCCCATCTGAGCCCCTGTAGCAAATTTGCCTCGCAATTCTCTTCTGAAGCGTCGATTCGACCAACGGTCAGGCACAGCCGGGGCGCGCCAGCGCAAACTGCACACTTTTTTTCTGACGCGTTTCCTCAAGCAGCAGCCGTGGTCTCCCAGGTTCGGGGCGTGCGAACGCCTGCAGGTAGGAACGTTTCAGTCGAACCTTTTTGTTACCTCAGTCGCCTTCGCACCCTGGGCAGGCAGGGATCGGCAGATTAACCACAAGCCCTCAGCCGCGGTGTAAGCCCAGCTCTCGATCATGAGAATCCAGAGCTGAGCAGTCCCGCTGGGGGCCGCTCCACCTCCTCCTCCTCTTCCGCGCTGCCTTCTGCTCCTCCTCCTCCTCCTGCGTGCAGTCGTCATCCGCCCCTTATCGCTCTTCTTCCTCGTTTTCCCTCCGTTGGAAACACGGTTGACTCCCACGGAACCCCCCCCCCACCCCCCACCCACCCACCCACCCAGCCACCCGCCCGCCCGCCCGCCCACCCCTTCCACCCGGCCACACGCGCGCCCACACACACCACCAGCAACAACAACAAAACCAACAGCACCAACAGCAGCAACAGCACCAACAACCACAACCACCACCACAACCACAACCATAACAACAACAGCAGCAGCAACAACAATACCAGCAATAACAGCAGCAATAGCAGCAACAACACACAACACACAACATACAACACACAACACACAACACTCACACACGTATACACACAACCGCCCGTAGCTTCTCCATCTCATTCATTGGCCGCTGTCCACTCTCCTCCTCTTTGTCCTACTTCCTCACGCCCCCCATCCTCATCCTCTTTCTCCATAGGAGCTGCCACGACTTCTGGCGATGACCACTCCCGAGTACAGGCAACCCGCATAGTAAGGTGTCATTGCATCCTTGCCTCTTCGGTCATCTTCGGTCCATCCTAAACCACTTTCGATGGCCAGCCCCGCTCGAAGAGCCTCGGCATCGGCGTCCAAGTCCCTTGCATCCGTACCGAGCATCCTTACTATATGAGTTGGCTGTAGAGCGGCGCTGTCCTGTACAGCATGTTTTCGGCGTCCGTGCAGCCGCGTCGCTTGGTGCTCCCGTTCGTTGCTGTTGAGCACAGGCACCGCGTGCTGCGCGCCTCTTGCACCGTGTGCTTCGCGCCTCTTGCAGTGTGCTGCGCGCCTCTTCTGGTGCACGTCACATCTTGCATGTGCTGAAGTAAGAGTGCTTATCTTTCTTTCTCTCTCTCTCTCTCGCTCTCTGTTGTTCTGGTGTCCGGCGGAGCCGTCTCTTCCAACATAGTTGGACATTGTTGTTGGCCTCTCCCCCAACATGTAGCCCACGGGTTCTTCAGCCTGTCCAAATCCAGACATGGCATATTATCTTGCAGACTTGAGGAGGTCTTGAGCCAGGTGTGGACGATAGCGCGCGTCTCTTCCTCCACGGCGAATCAGTACTGCGAGCGACTTTCGCAGGTGCCTTGTGACTTTGGGCAACGACCATCTACCACTATGAAGCAGATGATTTCCCCGCTTTCGCCATTGGCTTAACTAACGCGCGTCTGCCGGGCACGGCAGGGCATCTGTTCGCGAGGTCATCCCGCGGCCGCATGCCATGATGCTACGCGTAAGCACCTATCATATACGTATACGTAAATACCTGTACGACCACGCTGCGCGTGATAAGGAGGTTGGGGGGCAGCATTGAGCGAAAGTGGTAACTGTTGTTCTGACGATGCCTGTGGGGCGGAGTCTAGTGAATACTGTGATTGTGCACGTGAGCGTGATGTGATGTGGCGATTTTGGCGAAGCGCACTCGACATTGTCGTGAAGCGCTGTCCCCGCGTGCGCTTATCAATCGCGCGAACCTCACCTGGCCCAGCCACAGGAGGATTTCGGGACACCAGCGGGACACTGGCGGGACACCGCGGGCCACCGGCTGCCGGAGGAGAAACATTTGGTCCGGCCGCGACCCAGCCACAGGAGGATTTCGGGACACCAGCGGGACACAGGCGGGACACCGCTGGCCACCAGCCGCCGGAGGAGAAAGATTTGGTCCGGCCGCGGCCCAGCCACAGGAGGATTTCCTCTCGCCCGCCCACGCAGCTTCGCCTCGCCCGCACGCACGCACGGCACGCACGACACGAACCCTCAACCGAAATCGAGTTCCCTGTATGGGGGGGTCTCCTATATATATATATATATATATATATGTGTGTGTGTATGGCCATTCGGTGATGTACAGGGGCTGTTTGCTGCGTGTGGGCAGCGATCCTACATCCCATTGGCACATGGTCTTGCTGGGCAGGAAGGTCTAGGATCGAATTAGCGTGCTATCCGCTGCGTACACCACATATCTATAGGTCGCAGATGTATATATGCATACATACATATAAGCAGGTAAACCGCATAGTCTGTATGTAGATATGCGCACATCAGATCTTCATATTTTTGTTGTTTTGCCCGTCTCACATGCCAATCGCGACTCGTGTGTCATATTTTCTCCGAGACTTCTCTCTTCTCTCGCTTTTTTCGCTCCTGATAGCAATTTGATTCACGAAACAGCGCCACTGGGCAGCGGCAGGTCCTCTACATGTCTATGTTTCTTGCCTGCCTGCACCCATGCGCTGAGCCCGGGATGGTTGCGATGACTTTGGGCGCAGTGGGAAGGGAACGGAAGACAGGGGGGGGGAGGAGGAGGAGGACAGTGAGAAGGTTGGGGCAGATGGGGGAGAGCTTGGCAGGAGGGGGAAGGGGAGGGGAAGTGGGAGTGGGGTGGATTCGGGCTGCATTGACAGTGCAGCGCGTGCGCTTAGTTTGTTGTCTGCCTACATGTCCCTGTTCGGACGCTCGCAAACGATTCGTCAACAGTTCGGAACCATCTGTCCGCGAACTCCAAGGCCCCCAAGGGCATTGTCCACGGCCGCTCGGTTCAGGGGGGGAAAACGCTCAAAACGAACGGTTCGCACACAGTTCGAGAGCACATGTCCGCAAACGGTGTTCGGATCAGCCTTAGTATCGTACTCACCCTCCAGCCGACAGCCCGATGGGCAGCAAGGGCTTCGTGGTCGCACTCGCGGCGCCCCCCCCCGCCCCCCCCGGACAGGCGGCGCAGCAGCAGACCAGGCCCCCGTCTCGAAGCAGCAGCGCGGCGCAGGCTGCCGCCGGCGAGGGCGGAGGGAGAGTAGGCCCCGGCCTTTCGCCGCACGGAGCGCTCCAGCTTCAGGGCCCTGCCCTCGAAGACCCACGAACAGCACGCACTCAGACCCACAGGGGCCTCGGATGGCGCCACGGGTGCGCGTCGTCGGACGGGGGTCCCCGCTCGAACGGGAGCCTCCCCCGAGGTCTGACGGCCCGCTCACACACCCATTGCAGCGCAGCCTCCCTCCTCCCTCCTCTCGGGCCGGACGAGGGGTAGGATAGGGAAAGGGGGGGGGGGGGGTACGAAATCTGCTGCATGCCGCCGGTCTCCGCCCCGCCGCGAGGCCCACTCCTCGAGGCGTGGGCGCCTCCCGGCGCCAGGAGGTGCCGCGGAAACCGGCCCTTGGCGATCCTGCCTTTTCGCCCCCGCCGATCCTCCCAAGGAGGAGGAGGGGGAGGAGGGGGAGGAGGGGGAGGAGGGGGAGGAGGAGGAGGAGGAGGAGGAGGAGGAGGAGGAGGAGGAGCAGGAGAACGAGGAGGAGGAGGAGGAGAGGAGGAGGAGGAGGAGGAGGAGGAGGAGTCCTCCCTCCTCGCTCCTCCTCGCCGCCCTCGTCGCGAGCTGCCGCTGGCCCGAGCAAGTAAGGCAGAGCCCTCGGGGCGCCGTGCGCGGCCGAGGCCTCTCTGCGCAGAGCGGCCCGCGCGCCCCTGCTGCGCCCGCAACAGCAGCGGCCCGCCGAGAGATCGGCAGACGGCCGCCTCTACGTAGCTCGGCGGGAGTCGGACGGGGCGAGGGCTCTGGAAGTCGATCAATTCTAGGCTTCCCAGGTGGGGTCCGAGCAGATGGTGTCGGAGGATCGCGCCGCACCGCCGATGCATCGGCGGTGCGGCTCGATGTGGAGCCCGATTCACGTCGACGGCGCCGATGCATCGCCCACGTCGATGATGCAGATCCGGTGCATCAACGCTGCATCGACGATGCATCGCCGATGCATCGCCGATGTATCGGCGATGCGGTGCGATCCTCCGACCCCATCTATTCCGACCCCATCTAAGAGGTCTCTAATGAATGGAGAGGAAGCATGCTGCCAAATAATTTCCAGATGTGTAAAAAATGTTTCAAATATGTTCCCCATATGTATAACACATGTTTGAAACATTGTTTTGAACACGTGTTACACATGTCAAGCGTATCTTTAACTCAATGATAGGAGTGTTAGAGTGTCCATTGTCATGGCATCCACAAGGCTAGGACGAGGACGCCCAGTGCCCAGACCCCAGACCCCCTCGCGCTGCGAGCAAGTCACGACGGAAGGTTTGTGGCTATTTTCGGCCTCCGGGAGCTCTTTTTCCAGGCTTCGGGACTGTCAGGAAACGACTCAGGATGAAAAACCGGTCCCGGGGAAGGGGTCCAGACCTCTGGGGGTCGACGTTGTGAAACAATCACGACGTCGGGGGTCCGGGCAACCCGTTCCAGAGCATTGCCGAAAGCTCGCAGAGCGTCCCAGAACGCTCTGACCAGGCCGCAGTGCCCGAGGCGTCCTCCAGAGCCGCCAGATATCAGAGATACAGCGGGGGCCCATGCCAAGAAACATCCTGCTTGCCTCCAGGGTGCCCTGGGTTTCTTGGATTTCGATGGTTTTGCTATTGACAGCGTGACATTTCCACACCAAAAATCAATGGAACTTCTGGGATCCCAGGGTTGGGTCTCACGTGGCAGGTTTTTCGTAGACTGGCCTCCACTGCACTCTCGATGCAGACTCGCCTCGATCCGGCCGCTGCGGCTCGTCGTCACGCGGCAGCGAACGCTCCCTTTCCCCTATTACCCCCCCTTTCCCTATGATCCCCCCTTTCGCGGCCCCCTGGCGAAGGACTCGGCCGAGGCCTCCCCGATAGGGCGGGCTCCAGCGGTGCCCACGCCGCGTGCTCCTGGGCCGGCCGCGCGCCTCTCCTGGCACGACTCTTTGGTGCCGTGGCGCTGCGGCTCGCCGTCCAGCTGACGCCAGAGAGGCACGCGCTGCAGCTCAACCGCCCCGTGCAGACGAGCGCAGACGCAGCAGCCGAGCCTCGAGCGCGAGGCGCGGCGGCTCTGCCCCGGGCGCCGCGCCCCGGGCGCCCGCCCCCGCCGGAGCAGCGCCCGGCGCGTCGGTGTCCATGGGCGACAGCGCCACGCCCCCGACTTACCGGAGTTCCCTTTACGTAAGTTCCCGAAGGCTTGGGGGTTCAGGACGACTGTCTGCGCCGTGGCGCTGCGGTTCGCCGTGCGGCTGACGCCAGAAAGGAACGCGCTGCAGCTTATCCGTCCAGTGCAGACGAGCACAGCCGCAGCAGCCGAGCCTCGAGCGCGAGGCGCGGCCCCGCCCCCGCTGGAGCAGCGCCCGGCGCGTCGGTGTCCACGGGCGACAGCTCCACGCCCCCGAAGCGTGCCCGACGAAGGGGGGGGGATTTGGGAAAGGGGGGGAAACGAAATCTGCTGCCTGCAGCTGGCTTCGGCTCCTTCCGAGGGGCCCATGCCTCGATACATGGCCGCCTCCGGCGCCGGGAGGCGCCAGGAAAATCAGCTACGCGAGCTGATTCTCACCCCCCCCCTTTGCTACCCCCCCCCTTTCGCCCGGCCCGAGTCACGCCTCGCTGGGGGCTTCAGAAGTCAAATGCAGACTGGTTGGAGCATGCTCAGACATAGCCAGCAGTAGATACAGACACGTCGGCCCCACAGCGTGTGCTGCCCGTTTTTTGGGGGCAGGCTCCTCCCGCAAGCAGAGGGGCGTGCCCGCTGCGACCGGAAGGGGGGGGCCGGAGGAGGGGGGCCGGGCGGCGGAAGGTGGGCGGGCCCGCCGGCGCGGGGGCAGACGCTGCCCCCCTGCCCGGGCGTCGGCCACGTCGTCAGGGGAGGAGAAAACATGCAGACACATTTTTGGTTTTTGATTCGCGGGTCGAGAGCGGCGAGCCTCTTCCGGTCGAAGCTGAGCGGGCCGCGCGAAGCCTGAATTGACGGAGGAGGGAAAACAGAAGGAGGGGCCTCACGTCAAGGCCAGGAGAGGGCAAAGTCCCGGAATCAGGCGGTGCCGAAGACGTTGTGCTTGCAAAGGAACGCCTTGTACAGGAACAGGAGAGGAGAAGACACACAGACACAAGTAATCGTCGCTTCCCCAGGAAGTATGGAAGAAGATGGGAAGTGGGGGAGGAGACAAACACCCAGAAGAGATGGGGAAATATGGGGGGTCCTGTTATTTGTGTGTCCCAGGGCCCCTTCACCACGGCTTCTCTCGGAAGGAGGCTCCTGCTGAGGACCGGTGTCGTGTAACCAGTCCCCATCCCCAGACCCAGACCCTTTGAGGCCCCCCACCAAATTACCCCCCAAGTTGGGGATACACCCCCCGAAGCCCGAAACATACACGGCCTATATCCCCATCTGGGGTGGGTAAATCGGCCAGTGGGGCCCAGGCCACGCCGCTGGGGATGGGGATCGGTTAAACGATGCTCATAGAACAAGGCCAGGGGAACGAACAATGACATATACATAAAGACTCGGAGGTCCCCGCGGATTTCTCGGATCGGCGCTGGGCCCCCCTGGCGGCGCCTCCGGCGCCGCCACTAGCGCGCTCCGCGCGCCGGGGAGGGGGCTCCAGCGCCGATCCGAGAAATCCGCGCGGACCTCCGAGTTCTTAGGTTCAGGACATCTTCTGTTCCCCCACACCTGTGCATGTGGGGCCGGCGCCTCTTGAGAGGCAGCCTCCCTCCGAGAAGCCGCCGCCCCTCGCCCTGCCCCCCGTTGTGCGCTCCCCCGAGCGGGAGGTGCCGACGGTGTGGGATCCAGGGGGCCCCGGAGCGGGCAGGGCAGGGCGCCCGGAGCCCAGGGGCTCGGAGGCGCCGCCAGGAAGAAGTCGAGGCCTGAGGCTCGAGGTTCGTTTTCGACCCCGAGGGCCCGCTTTCGACCCTGGAGGATCGAGGCCCGCTTTCGACCCCGAGGCTCGAGGATCGAGGATCGAGGATCGCTGTCGAGACCTGAGGCTCGAGGATCGAGGCCCGTCTTCGACCCTGAGTGGCTCCCTCGATCAAGGCTCGAGGCTCGAGGCTCGTGTTCGGGAGCCTCCGCACAGGCCGCTCCTGCGCCTCCCCAGGACCCCCGACGTCACGTCTTCGTTCGCAACGTGGACCCCCAGAGGTCTCGACCCCTCGGCCCGGGGACGGCTGGTTGGACCTCCGCCCCCCCCTTCACTCTGTCCGTCCTCGTTCACCCTCCCCCCTCTCCATTCATCCTCTCCCTCCTGTTTTTCCTCCTCTTTCTCCTCCATCCTCTCATCGCTTTCCAGCCTCCCTGTCCTACACCTTCTCCTGCCTCCCCATCGCCCCTCCCTCCCTTCGTCCTCCTCCTCCCCTTGGCCCCCCTCTCCTCCTCCTCCTCTTCCTCCTCCGCCTCCTCCTCATCCTCCTTCTCATTCTCCTCCTCCTCCTCCTCCTCCTCCTCCTCCTCCTCCACAATTACACAATATGAAAATACTCTCCCACTTCCCCTGATGGCGTCCCGAAGATGG